TATATATACAGACATATAGACACATACATATAAATACATATAAATATGTATAAAGATATATATATATATACTATAATAGTATATCTGTATGTGAGCTCATAAATAGAGCTGACATATGAATAGAGACAACTACACATCGTATAAACACATACATATACATAGCTGTATAAAAATGTCTATTCACATATCAATATAATTACGTATGCACTTAAACATATACAGACATATATATATACACGCACACACGCACACGCACACACACACATATATATATATAATATGTGTGTATGTATTTTGGCACATACACATACGCGTACACATACACATACGCGTACACATACACATACGCGTACACATACACATACGCGTACACATACACATACATATACACATACAAACAGACACACATACACAAACATATATATAAATATATATATTTATACACACACACACATATATATATATATATATATATACACACACATATATATATATATATATATATGTGTGTGTGTGTATATATGCCTCCTTGTACGCATGCGTTGAAATTTCATCCGCAGCATACAACAATTGAAAAAATACCTCGTTTCACCAAGGCAGACAATATACCATACCTAGTAGTATCGAAATAATTATACGATGGACGTACGATTCTATACTGTTACATCTACATGTGACAGATACATCGATAGATTCTAGATCAGTAGCCACATATTGATCACGTATACATACCACAAGTCCCTTCGGAGTACGTCCAGGCAAATCCAAACACCACTGGGCGATCTGGGTCGTCTTACCAGAGCCTGTCTCTCCTACTAATACCAAACATTGGTTCTCAGCCATTTTCTTCAAGAAATCCTCCTTCTGTTCCCACACAGGTAATTTTTTCCTACCTTCAAGGATTTGGTGGTACCTGGGTGTGAATACACGCCCCGTTAACGGATTAAAGTCGTTAACACCCTTCTTGACATGGTTGGGACTGTCGTCTAGAACGATCTTACGCTTGCGATCACCCATTTTGATGTATGTATATTTATATTTATGTATGTATATGTATATAAGTTAATGTGTGGGTGTTATATATTATATATATATATATATATATATATATATATATATATATATATATATATATATATATATATATATATATATATATATATAGAGAGATAGAGGTATATATATATATATATAGATAAATATATATTATTTATGCGTATATAAATATGTATATAAATATATATATATATATATATATGTATATATGTATGTGTGTGTATGTGTATGTGCAGTGTGTATGTGGGGAAGGTATTTAAGTGTATGGAGGCCGCGATCAACTGTGATGAACCGCAGAATTCGCGGTAGTTATATTGCTAAAACCTCTCCACGAATACCAACCATCCCTTTGAGCACGTTGGTATAGTCTAGGGTTCCATATTAATTAACGTGTATTATACACGTTAATATCAATTCTAGAACGTTATATTTGTCAGGCTCATCGCGAGGTATCAGCTCATAAACGTTATTTATGGTAGTCTTGGTGTAGGGTATGGGTCCGATCATGTGGAATGGGATGGACGGGCTCAGCCCGCTCAGGTCAACTAGTCATCAATTCTAAAAATAGATTTTCCTGTCGGCTTTTTCACCCAATGTTCACCAAGAAGTTGTGATTGGTACATACTATTGTGTTGGGAGTTGGAGGGGTATGCACTATGCATGTAGAATATGCGCATAATAAATACATGTCTTCATATGTATTTTATTTAGTATATATTTGTAGTTAAGTATTGAATAATACGACACGTTGTGTTTTTAATTAAGGTCTCACACGATGTTGGATATACATAGATAATTTGATACATACACGCAATATATATTTATTACTTCTTGGAGTTGGAGGCTTTTTTAGCCCCTGTGTTTGCGTTTTAAAAAAACGTTTCCTGCACACAGTGTACAGTACATATTTACTATGTTTTAAATAATATTTTTGCACTAAACGTTTACAAAGTATTTGCCCTATGCACCTCGATACAGGTGTATATTCAGAGCTCTGAGGTTCAAATATTCCAGACGTTTTTCACCCAGTCCGGTCAATCGATAAATAAATCTGTATTTTTTCAGTCTTATGACCCAAATATAAACAACTATAGCCAAACCTCTCGTCCCTTTGGAGGCTACGCATGCGGCATAAATCGAATAAATAGCGTTTACATTACACTTTTAAATTGGATCCCTTCAACGGTCCTTAAATGTACTGTGTTTTAAATTCTCACAATGTTGGATATTAGAATAGATATATAAACATTCAGATACATACAGTACTCGAACGCACTGACTGGAATTTAGAACAGAATACAAAGTAAACCGGATTTAGGACGGGTACTGTACGTGTCGTAAAATAAGACAGAAATGACACCGCCAGGCGCCAGCGCGTGTGAGTCTGTTTTGAGCGCGGCGGCGCTATGGAGTGGTAGCAACAGATACGCGACAATTGTGCCAACGCTCCTATGGTATAGCACAGAGACATCGTCTGAACCTGCGACGTAAAGCAAATATATTTACATGTACACCTATATGTTTCGATAAATATATGTTATAGTTATCACACAGAGGTCTGTATATGCTATATACTTCATAACTACATATAACGAATATTAGTATATATAAATATATAGCTATGGCAAATAGAGAAGATCGAGGCGAACCACGCCAACGTGGCGAAGGGGGTGATAAAAACTCAGATAAGCTCAGGTTCGAGACATCTAATGGTGTACAGATTATAAGTCACTTTGATGATATGGGATTCAAAGATGATCTAATTCGTGGTATATACGCATACGGCTTCGAAAAGCCGAGTGCGATTCAGCAGGTATGTAGGTGTTTTCAATATATTATTATTTATATGGTGCATTTGTGCATATGTATTATTTTCAATGTGGTTCTATTCTATATATATATGTATATATATATATATATATATATATATATATATATATATATATAATATATATATATATATTATATATATATATATATATATATATATATATATATATATATATATATATATATATATATATATATATATATATATATATATATATATATATAT